GAGAGAGAGAGAGAGAGAGAGAGAGAGAGAGAGAGAGAGAGAGAGAGAGAGAGACATGTGAGCTGGTGGAAACAACGAGAAGAACGTGATAGAGTAAAAAATTAAAACATAATAACTCACCACTACCAACATATTAGGCCTGCTATACTACTACTAATACTGTTATAATAAAAAAGTTGTTTTTACTGAACAAAATTCGTTTTTACAAACTAAATCAAAAAGCTTTTGCTGAACAAAAACACGTGTGGAGGACAAAAACAACAAACAAAAAAAAAACACTTTTAACACATTTATTGAGTTTTGTTAAAGTCCAAGTTTCATCTTAAAACTTTTCCAATCATATCCTGTCTATAATGTATCCTTCTGTCGTGCACGTGCAGTCCTGCTCCAGTTTCTCCAAACGGACGTCTGCTTTCGTGTCGCAGTGTTCCTTATGCGCGCTTGTTTACACGCGCGTGCACACCGTCCTAACGATTTTCCGACGCTCTCCACTTGGTTAAAAAAACAGAAAAAAAAAAAGAATGAAAATCCCCAGGCTGCTCCTCTCATATCAGATAGTTTTATCATGTAAATCTACAGGAGCCTCTTCATAAGCTGCTCCGCCTTAATGGCCACATTCTAATAAGTCACGCAAGTAGTCGATAATAAAAGGTGCTTTTTTATTTAACAGGCTGCGTGTTCCACATTCAAATTCTGCTTCCAACAGTTTCATACCACCTTAGCTTCCAGATCTCTGTCAAATGCACTGAAAACATAATCTGCTCGAGGATATGTAAATGGTTTTATTTTGTTAAATATTGTTTTTGTATTCATAAGCTGCACAATCGGAGCACCTTTATGTGAGGAAAAAACATGTTCTTTAGCTACTTTTTTTTGTGCCAAACTGAATAATTAAAAAAGTGAAAACTGAATAATTTATTAAACTGTCAAATTGTTGCACATAAAGTATTTCCTAAAAATGAAAAAAATAAAATAAAACACTAAAGTTAAAAGTTTATTTAAATTAATTGAAATCATGAAGTAAAACAGGTTTCATAATAATGCTGCATGACGTACGTTTTAAGTAATTTATTTCACCTTGGATTGATAAATTACTTTACAATGAACGTTGCACTCACACCCACATACAGAATGTGTGTGTGTGTGTGTGTGTGTGT